CTAATATATATATATATATATATATATATTTACTTTACACAAAGTAAACAAAGGTGTATGTTTGTAGAATAATTTACAACAGTTTTGAACGCGGCTCAACCAATCAGAATCAAGATATATCAATATATATATTAGTGCTGTCAAAAAAAACGAATTAATCGCACATTCTGAAATTAATTGCAATTAATCCCACCTAATATTAAAGCTTTTAAATATATTTGTATATTGCAATAATTTCACATTCAATCTTCAAATTAATGTAGAAACAACTTTAAGACAGTATATTTTTAATAGCATCTTTTTTATGACTGAAGGCGAGTATCAATACTACTGAAGTCTCTAGGAAATGTCCCCCCCCCCCTAATATTTAACCATTGACTTTAGCCATTCAACATTACAGTGTAATTGAGAGCTATCAATTTTAACATTTATTAGACTTAAAAAACAACAACTTCTAATTTAAGTGAACTTAAAGGCACAATACGTAATTTTCGCAGCTAGAGGGCGCATATTCAAAATAAACAAATAGACAAAGGCGTAGTTTGATGACGCCGTGACTGAGTCTGGAATCATGGGAGTTGTCGTCTTCATCCCCACAGCCGATGCAATCCGACGGGACTCGGGCAGAAATCATGTTCATGGATGAGCTAATGATTTATTAACGTAGTAGAATGAAGCAGGGTGAGGCTGAAAGCCGTCGAAGCAAAACGAGGCCGCTGAACGAGCGCAACACACGGCTCGAAAGCAGCTGAGCTTTTATTATGCCACAGTCGAGCGCTTCCGCTCCTTCCAGTCGTGCGTATGTGGGGGGAAAAAAGCAGTGCTGTTTTATCATACTAGATACATTTGAAAGTTCTGTTATAATGCTACTCTGTGCGGTCGTCACCGGTCTAATGAAACGCACAACATATTAAAGCGTCTTTGGTGTTTCTATATTTTCTATGGAAATCAAAGGGGTTATGACGTTTTTGGCAGGCGACACAATGACACTATGGACACGCTCCGTGTCACTAGTTAAAATTGCTTATTTCTCTGGATTTAATTATTTTTTTAAACATTTGGGATAATGTAAGTACATTAACAAGACCATGAGGATTCGATCGTCGCATCATGCACCTGCTGCGCTTCTGTGAAAGGAGAAAAACAGAAATTAAGTCTATAAAAGTAATAAAGTAAATAGGATCACACAAAATATATAATAGGCTATAATATAATTAACAGATTAACAAAAGGGGAAAAAAACACTGTGCAACAAGTATAGGCTACGCCGTTTTTGTGACACTCTTAATGCATTTGATTTATTTTCTTTGTCTTTTCATCGTCTGTTTGATGACATCTTTAATTTATTTTTCCGTACATTTCTGCCATATGTACATTAACTGACAGTCACCACTGATAAGCTACCACTAAATATTGTAGAAACTTAATTTTCTGTAAAGTTGCTTTTCAACGATCTGTATCGTGAAAAGCGCTATACAAATAAACTTGAATTGAATTATGTCTTTGATTAAATCCATCTGATCGCACAGGCGTCTCACGCACACACAAACAACATTAGTTCTACCATTGCCTGACATTTCAACTATTCATCATAAAACTAATATGTATAAAAGTTACACAGTTTATTGCTGTAAAATCAGCGTGCAGTGCCCAAAGAAACATTTTTTTACACGGATATTAGAATATGAGTGAAGTAGGCTATAAAGCCATGTTTAGGCTACATAATAAATAATAGTTATGCAAACAAATGTTACAAATATGGCAAAAATGGCTCGTTGTGAGCCCAATGCTGTTTCAGTTTTGCTTTACATTTGTATGCTGTTTATAATGAATGCCACTATAGCCTAATTATATTTATTTTACAGTTGAATATATAATTTTATAACTACTTATTTTTCATTCTTGTTCTGTTCTGAATACCGTTAAATGTAAAATATTTGTTGGGAACTAAATAGGCTGTTTATATTTACGAGTATTTTAATATACATATAAATTACATAAATTAATGTAGCCTAATAGTTTGCAATTACAAGGTTAACGGGTATTTTTGGAGTAAGAACAATTTCTCTTTGACGAGATTACTTCCTCTTTTTGGCCGGGTTTCGTTTCTCCGTGTCGTAAACTCTAGGGTGAGGCTTCTAAACCAGGGTGTTTTTAGGGGCGTGATATTCAAATGACGATTGTTTTCTGCCGCCACATTTATCAACGTGCGAACATTCACACAAAATTCCTATTATAAGAAAATGAAAGTGTTTTTTGAACTTGCATGCATGTAAACCTGTTGTTGGGGACTCCCAGAACCAAATTATGAACCGTTCAAACAGCATAATAGCGGCACTTTAAATGTAACTCGTATAATAAATACTTACATGCATGCACAGTTTTAAGGCAGCTTTAATCGCCTTTTTGGTAACGTCATGACTTAACTGATGACATAACTACGACTTTGCATGCTCGTAGTTTCATTTGCTCTTTAATATGAAGGTATATACAGCGTCCACCACTGCATTTGTGTGTGCAATTGAAGAGCACGTGCTACGAGTACAGTATAATGGCTGACAGGAAAGGAAAATTAGTTTTTACTGACATTTGGCCTGACAACATCTCATCTGACTGCGGTTCACTGTTGTTCTATTGAAGATCCCTCGTCACCTGTACCTTCTCCTCACTCATTTTGACTATCGCCTGGCACTGAGGCGTAGTTGAAGTGCGCATCTGAAAAATCTCCCGTTTGATGTGGTTGTAAAGACGTTCTGCGTCTAAATAAAAGCAACTCTTGTCAAGAAACAAGAGACAGAAGCAGCAGCTGTGAGTGGGGTGGCGAAGCCTAGCTCCGCCCCAGCGTTAATTAATACTAATAATTAATAAATATTTTTAACGCGTTAAACAGAAAAAAATAATCGCATGTGTTAAGTTAATTTTGACAGCACTAATATATATAGTTTTTCTTAGTTTTAGTTCATTTAGTACTTCAATCTTAAACTAAATGCCTTGGCAACTAGCTGAAATAAAATAAGCGGAAATAAATTACAATTTTAGTTTATTTCAAATAATGTTTATTGCATTTGCAGTAATGAATTATTTGTATTTTTTTTAGGTTTTTGTTTTAGTTAATGATAATAATGCTGTGGTAACCATGGTATAGGTAGATAAATAAATAAATTAATTAATAATTCAACTATTGAAAAAGAACGCACAGCCACCACCTTCATTACATACATGATTAATTGATATTCACAACACATATTTTACACACAAACACACACTTAAAATACTGTCAGTTTATGTCAATAATTCCACAGGATTGACGGGGCTTGTGATTAATCACAATCATCACATGCATTTGTTGGTTTGTCAGCACTAATTATGATTCACACCAAAGCACATGGTCCTATTATTTCAGGCATGTGATCAAATCTGCAGTCAACAAAAATGAGTTTTAAAAGGCAAAATAAGAAACACTGTTCTGACTGATAGATGACCGATTACACGTCATATATAAGGAATAACTGACAACAAATGGTTGAATTATTGATGCACACCTGAGGTGCAAAGGTGGCTGTGCATTCTTTATTTTATTATTATCCTACCTATACAATGGTTACCAAGCAGTATTATTATTGTTCACTAAAATGAAAACCATAAAAAAATGTCATTAACTGAAATGTAATAAACATTATTTGAAATAAAACAAAATATATATATAAAAAAAATAAAAATCTAATTTTATTTCAGCTAGTTTCCAAGTCAACATTTCTCATTTTTGTTTAGCTTAAACTTAAGTACTAAATAATTAAAGCTTAATAAATAAAAAAACTATATAGACATAAAAAAATAGTTTAAATAAAACTGAAATACAAATTGATTAAAAAAAAAAACTATATAGACATATTGTATGCATTTTCTGTATATTTTGATATATACACACACATGTAAATTTGAAATATATATATCTCGGTTTACAACCCTCTACACTGCGAGTCATATGCGACTAAATCTTCACTCTGGGCGACTAAATGGTGTCTAATATTAGCCAATTGCTAATAAATTCTCAGATTTTACTCGCCAGTGTGTGAGTTGGAGGCTAAGTATAAGTTTAGCTCAGATATATTTTCTCTTAAAAAAAAAACTATATAGACATATTGTATGCATTTTCTGTATATTTTGATATATACACACACATGTAAATTTGAAATATATATATCTCGGTTTACAACCCTCTACATTGCGAGTCATATGCGACTAAATCTTCACTCTGGGCGACTAAATGGTGTCTAATATTAGCCAATTGCTAATAAATTCTCAGATTTTACTCGCCAGTGTGTGAGTTGGAGGCTAAGTATAAGTTTAGCTCAGATATATTTTCTCTCGCCGAACACTCTCTGACTGAGCGCATCAGAGTTTCTCTCTCCGCTAAGCGATCTGTGCTATTTTCAGTTCATCTGAATGGATGTGCAGCACACCTGTATTTAACGTACCGTAAACTCTAGTGTGAAGTCGCACGACTCGCCGTCGCTTTGTTTCACATACGCGCAGCGAGAGAGGGAGATAGAGAATTGATGCGCTACATGTAAACGATATTCTTTGTTGTATTTTGCTGTCAAAATAACGGAGTTCCTTTGCAATTCTTCCGCTTTTAAGAACTACCGCTTTCTCTGGTAGTGGGCGGAACTAATGCGCAAACGGCAATCTCATTGGCTGGTGCTCAACATATTATTGTCCGTTTTGATTTCAGCAAATCAGTTCGAGCGAACGTACACAACCTGATTAATATTCATGAATCCAGTAGCTCGTTAATCCTTGGTGCGTTTTATATTGTTCTTATTAGTAGAATTCGTATCATTATTATCTAATCAGTATTTTTGTTAGTTTTTCCCCAATTTTTAATTTTTTTACAGAAACACCGAATGACAAAAAAGCACCACCACCAGTCCGAAGTTCAGTTAAAATAACTAATATGCATTCATACATCGTTATCAAGTTTTAATTCTAATTACTAAAGATCTATCATTAAATAATATTGATTATCATATTATAATGCTTGACTGACTGATGTTAAGAGTGTACTTTCAGATATTTATAAAACTGTGCCATTTTACAAACAAACATATAGATATATTTTTTTTTTATCAGTCTGGCGAGTAAACTAAAAAATGTACTAGCCAATGGCGATTCAATTGCCAAGGTGATCGTAGAGGGCTGGTTTAATATAATGTTCTTGTGGAGTACATGACTAATAATTTTGTACTTGTCTTGTACAACAACAATCAAGAGTTTAAAAAAGACTGCACAGCTTTACACGTTTGATCAGTGTAACAAAGTAAATGAGCGTCTGTGTGTGTGTGTGTGTGTGTGTGTGTGTGTGTGTTTTTACCACTGATGACGCTCTGACAGGCCTTTCCACAGCGGGTCTGTGCGCACCATCCTCTCGATGAGCTTCTTCCAGAGCATCCCGTCTGAAATGACCCGCTGCCATTCTCGACAGACCAGCTCAGCAGAGCACAGAGAATGAGCATCGAGAAACGAGAGGATGTTCTCCGCTATGTGATCCAGACCCTGAGCTACAAACAGAGAGATTCAGTGAGATTTAGTGTAGTTTTGTGCAATCACTGACATTCACAGAGCACCTGAATGCATTTTTTTTTTTATTGATGTGATTACAAGTATATCTGTATAATTATATCTATACTTCATTCCTGTTAATGTCGTACATTTTTTGTGCTGAAAGCCAATAAAGACTTCTGAGGACATGTATGAATGTATATACAGGTGCATCTCAATAAATTAGAATGTCGTGGAAAAGTTCATTTATTTCAGTAATTCAACTAAAATTGTGAAACTCGTGTATTAAATAAATTCAATGCACACAGACTGAAGTAGTTTAAGTCTTTGGTTCTTTTAATTGTGATGATTTTGGCTCACATTTAACAAAAACCCACCAATTTACTATCTCAACAAATTAGAATATGGTGACATGCCAATCAGCTAATCAACTCAAAACACCTGCAAAGGTTTCCTGAGCCTTCAAAATGGTCTCTCAGTTTGGTTCACTAGGCTACACTGTGATATTTAAATTTTTCTTTTTTAATAAATCTGCAAAAATGTCAACAATTCTGTGTTTTTCTGTCAATATGGTGTGCTGTGTGTACATTAATGAGGAAAAAAAATTAACTTAAATTATTTTAGCAAATGGCTGCAATATAACAAAGAGTGAAAAATGTAAGGGGGTCTGAATACTTTCCGTACCCACTGTGTGTACAAGGTTACAAGTACATCTATGCTTTGCTTCGGTTTATTATAATTTTATTTTTGATAAAAAAAGATAAAAACGAATATATTATTGAATTAATTAGGACAGTACTAATAAAGAAACTGTGTAATGTAGGGCAGTGCTAATAAAGGAGAAAATATTTTTATGATATTTTATTTATTTATTTTTAATTATTAATTTTTTTTGTTTGTTTTTTATTTATGTGGTTACAAGTAAATCTATGCTAAAAACCAATGAAAAAACTTGATGAATAAATAATAATAATAATAATAAAAAGAAAAAACCAAAGGCAGACATTTAGGCCAAAGTGAGCGAAGATTAAAAATCACTCTCATTATTTTATCTTTGCCATTTAAAAATAATAACAAAGATACACATTACAAACACACATAATATACAAATAAAACTGACAGTGCTTTATTTTTTCAGGCACAGTATGTGTATTTAGCAGTAGCATTCAAGAAATTGAATAAACAAATAAAATAAAAAAACACTATATACAATTCAATTTTACATTGATTCTTATTAAAGCAACTGTATTTGAGTTCTTCAGTCAAGAGCAGTGAGTCATTTTTCTCTTTGTTTTGTTGTTTTATTAACATTACAGGGATTACTACTACTTTTTCCTTCCCAAGTCAATGGGGACCAGCAACAGTTTGGTTACACACATTCTTCACAAAATAAATTAATACAGGTTTGGGACAATATGAGAGTGAGTAAATAATGACAGAATTTTCATCTTTAGGTGAACTATCCCTTTATTTACAAGCAGCAACATGTTTAGTACAAATAGTCTGCTGTCGCTTTAAGAACTGCACACATCTAATATACAGGCACGCGTCCGTTTTTCTCTCAACTGTTTAGTTTCACTGTAGACATAAACAACTATGTTTATATGTAAACCTTGTGTGTTTTGACAGTATTAGTGCAATCAGATGCGAAAGATAACTTAGTCTAGTAATCAGGCGCTGTTTAACAGGCTTTTTAGTGTGCGCGCGCTTCAGGTGTATGCGCTAAGAAAAAGCACATGTCAGAACAGCACACGAATGAAATGTTTAACCAGCAATGCTTTAAAGCACATGCAAACAATGTACTTTTGTAATTGCGAATAAGTACATTGTTCCATGAGTGCAACTCTACCGCTGAGTTAACATTTGATGTGAATGTATGTGGCGTTGTACAGTATAATGAGACGGAGGCGCGATAACTGCAACTGATAGAATGTGTGCTGTAACACGATACTACGATATTTCTGCAAAAGCAGATTGTGGAGACATTTTAATCGGCCAAGATAAAAAAAAATGGTCATATTGCTTTTGCTGATTCTACAAGGTGCAGGTAAAACTTACAACCACAACTCTATATTATGAATGTAGAATTAACATTATATCTGTTCTTATAAATGATTAGTTCACTTCCAAAATAAAAAAAATTTAAATTTAGGAGAAAAATCCTGGAAAGTTTTCCTCAAAAACCTTAAAGGGATAGTTCAACCAAAAATAAAAATATTACCCCATGATTTACTCACCCTCAAGCCATCCTAGGTGTATACGACATTCTTCTTTCAGACGAATACAATCAGAGTTTTTCACTGTCCAGGCTAATCCATGCTTTATAATGGGAGTGGATGGTAGCCCAAAATTTATAATTTCAGCATACATTTCTAAACCTATCAACTTAATAAACTTTAATCTCTAGCTTCTGCTAACTGTCGTGCTCGTTCACGAGAGAGTGGCGTCCAGTGGATGACGTAGGCGTAGCGTAAACTCCGGTGTGCAGGGCCGGATTTACGCATAGGCATTCTAGGCACGTGCCTATGCTTGCTCGTCCAGAGGGGGTCCAAACATAACTAAGAGATGCATAATATTTTTGTTATACTATGGGATATCTACAACAGTAAAAGAACTAAAACCCCAGAAGACATTGAGCAAATAAATATAACAAATAATAGGGTAAAAATGACAAACTATTTCCATGTCTTCCACCTTTTTTTATGTACGGAAATCACGCTTTCTTTCTCCCGTTCTCTCTCACAGAC